TCGATGGGCAACACGGACTTTCAACTCCCTCCAAAGGTTTTCTATGGGGTTGGAGATCTGGAGACTGGCTAGGCCACTCCAGGACCTTGAAATGCTTCTTACGAAGCCACTCCTTCGTTGCCCGGGCGGTATGTTTGGGATCATTGTCATGTTGGAAGACCCAGCCACGTTTCATCCTTAATGCCCTTGCTGATGGAAGGAGGTTTGCACTCAAAATCTCACGATACATGGCCCCATTCATTCTGTCCTGTACATGGATCAGTCGTCCTGGTCCCTTTGCAGAGAAACAGCCCCAAAGCATGATGTTGCCACCCCCATGCTTCACAGTAGGTATGGTGTTCTTTGGATGCAACTCAGCATTCTCTCTCTTCCAAACACGACCAGTTGTGTTTCTACCAAACAGTTCTATTTTGGTTTCATCTGACCATATGACATTCTCCCAATCCTCTTCTGGATCATCCAAATGCTCTCTAGCAAACTTCAGACGGGCCCAGACATGTACTGGCTTAAGCAGGGGGACACGTCTGGCACTGCAGGATCTGAGTCCCTGGCGGTGTAGTGTGTTACTGATGGTATCCTTTGTTACGTTGGAGTGTGGCTGTTTAAGGTTGTGGACAGGTGTCTTTTATACTGATAACAAGTTCAAACAGGTGCCATTGATACAGGTAATGAGTGCAGGACAGAGGAGCCTCTTAAAGAAGAAGGTACAGGTCTGTGAGAGCCAGAAATCTTGCTTGTTTATAGGTGGCCAAATACTTATTTTCCACCATAATTTGCAAATAAATTATTTCCAAATCAGCCAATGTGATTGTCTGGATTTTTTTTTCTCATTTTGTCTCTCATAGTTGAGGTCTACCTATGATGCCAATTACAGGCCTCTCTCGTCTTTTTAAGTGGGAGAACTTGCACAATTGGTGGCTGACTTAATACTTTTTTGCCCCACTGTACAAAATGAGGAACAGGGACAAACAAAGTAAACTTGAGATGCAGAGAACAGATGGGAAGGGAGAACCAGGCCTAGGTCCTGGAACAAGGGGAACAGATAAGAGGCAGAAAGCATAATTAGGCTATTAGGGCTCGTTCACACTTGACTCATTTTCCAACTCTTGCCAAACTCCCCTATAGCGTTTGACAAGCGTTGGTCCGGCGTTTGAGGAGCGTTTTTAACGCTCCAAAAACACTGCATGCGCGGTTTAGCGGCCATTTGCTAGGCATTTGCCAAGCGTTAAAAACGCCCCACAAACGCCTATACTGAAGTTTGAATGGTGTTAACGCTCCGCACACGCCTCGCAACCGCATCACAACCGCTCCGCGAATGCCGGCTGGGCATTTGCAGAGCGGCACCATAGACTTGAATAAGAGGCTTTAACTCCTCCTGAGTCGACCAGAGACGTCCGTTTTGCCACGACACTAACGTTCCCATTTGAATAGCACTATGTGCTACAATGTGCAGAATTTTCCCAGGCGTTTGGGAAACAGTAAAAACGCTTCCCAAACGCCTGTCTGCCACTTGCTAACAAGGCTAGTGTGAACATAGCCTTAGGCAAGCAAAAGAAAAACACTGAAATGAAGTGTAATAGTGGAGGAGGGACTAAATACCCTCTCAGCAGCCAGCATCAGGTAGAACTGATTACTGAGATCTGCTGGCTGCTGGGAGACCCCCACTGGTGGACACCAGTGACAACCTTCCACTCTGGGAACACAGTGCTACCAACAGATGATCCGGGACCTAACACAGACAGAGTAAATAACAGAGACATCAACATGCAGTTATATATCATTGGCACTCCCACATTTGTAGTGCAACAGATGAAATGGTAAGGCATGGATTGGACACTGTGTGACTTGGAACAAGAAGTTGCCTGCCCCTTTAGTGAATAGGAACAGTGAATAGTGAATAAGAACATGCTAGGTGAATGAATACATGAACATAGGGTAATCAATCAGCCAGGGCACTTCAAACTACAGCCAGAACCTGTGAGCCCATCATTACAAGGTAAGGCAAACAACAACAGACAGAATATAACTACACTAATATCTAGCTAAAACAATGAACAGTTGAAAGTGTGCAATGCCTTTAAAGCAAAATGTTTAGCTTTGACTAAAGGGTAAGTTTAATTCCTTGAAACATTTATATACCATTCTCCAAAGCCTTAACCAAACATAAAGTCTGTATGATGAATATATAGGAGTAAGTGTGATTGATTTAGCTCATTTCCTACCTGCGATGAAGATATAGAAGATTAATAGAGAAGCAGAATGATCGTTGACAGAAAGTGAGTGGCTTTGGCCTATCCTTGCAGTATTTCTTTTTTCCTTTTTTTTTTCTTTTATTATTATCAACGAGCCCAAAGGAAAATGACTCCAAAGGTCACTGCACTAGAAGAAAGTGGCTCCTACTTCATGGCCCCGGCAGAACATACAGCCTTGCCATTTAAGAGACAGCAGGCTTTAACAGTAATCCTGATGCAAGCATTAACTCTAATCCGGCTGCCACTATAGCTATTGATTTTCTGTTGTATTGTTCTTTGATTTCCATTTTGGTTATTTAATGAATGGATGATGGATTCTTGACCTTCAGCTCGTCTGTTGGCGGGCCTGGCATTTGATAATGTCCTATGATCTGGTGCAGCATCCTCAGGGTCTTGCGTGTTTTTTTTCTTTTTCTGTATTAAACCGAAATTTGTAAACGGCTTGCAAAACACCAGTTACAAGCGCTTTCCTTTTATCATTAATGAAGGTTATTTCAGGTTAAGTGCTAAATTAATAAAGGATTTAATATGCTAAAGAGACGAGGTTCATGGTTAATTTCAATGCTATATATAATTCTGGTTGAGTCTGGTTTTTGTGGGGCTGTGCAGTAATACGGTGCATTTTCAGACGGTGAGAAGAGCCTCGCTGGGAGGTCTGCCATTCAAGCTAGCAAGATCGAACAACAGCCATTGCACTTTGCTCCATTCACTGAAACTAAATTGCAGTTATCTGTTGAATAAAAGAACCATGGCAATTATAATCTGTGTAAACCCTGACAATAAGCTTCTCTTATTTGCTGCTTTATGGTCTGTTAAAGGGTAAGTTCGCCTTTTCAAAAAAAAATGAAAAGATGAACTCACACCATCTTCCCCGCCTCCCTTGTCCCGGCTGATGTAAATGCCATCTCCTGTTGCCAATGCCAGCTGGTGTAATGGGCCAGACACTAACATTGTCGGTAAGGTTGAATAAAGACACCAGTCCATCCAGTTCAACCTGAGTGTGTTTGTGTCCACTGATTTCCATCTTCCTGTACATTTCATTCTCTAAGAAATTAATTTAAAGGTGTTTTGAATATATCTACACTTCCCGCTGACCCTCAACTGTGAAGGGAGTTCCATATCCTCACCACTCTAACAGTAAAGAACCCCTTATGCAGTTCAAGACTGAATTGCCTCTTGCCCAACTTCATTGTGTGGCCAAGTGTCTTCTTTAGAGACCATAGGTTAAACAATTTCCTCCCAAAGCTAGAGTCACCATTTAAAGTGGTTGTAAACCTCAGACATGAAATATGAACAAAGCATATCCCTCTATAAAAATCAAAATAGAGTGAAACTTATTGTAACAGAACTGACCCCAGACTGCGCTTGGGTATTTCCGTTAGAATACCGCTTCCCCGTCCGAACACCACAGACACCACAGCCGACTAAACAAGACTAGACGACAGCAATCTTGAAGTAAACCAGGATGTAGACTAGTTTATTTTAACAGAGATACAAGATATATACACTCAAGTGAACAATCCCCCCCGCCTGCATAATGTCACAGGGCGGGGCAATCTACGTTTAGTAACAAGAGACACACCAACAGACAGTCCCATCAGGAGGGAGGGCTGCTGGAGACACCCCCCCCCCACCAAGCCAATACACATAAACACATACATCCCATAATAGTTTGCTCCCAAGCAAGACACACAATAGAACAATGCAACCACGTGGCATTCAACAATCCACAACCCCCAACCCACCTATCTCCTAGACATGTCTACACAATATTAGGAGAGATCACCCTGTACCCCTAACAGGCACAGGGTGACTTACACATAAGAGGGATATGGGGAGCTGAGACAGGGGTCTCCCCACCTCTCCAAAGTGAGCTGTGTTCCGTGGGCCCCCCACCCAAAGTGACTCCCGCCACACTTATGCACTGCTAAAAAAAAAAAAATATAAAAAATGAAGGAAAGTGTGTTGTGTAGACTGCTGCTACTGCCTAACTGTGTAACACACCACAGTGGACATATATACCAAAAAAGATGGTGTAGCCCTGACCTAAATATACATGATCTGATTACCATATTTTTTGCTCCATAAGACGCACCTGACCATAAGACGTGCCTAGGTTTTAGAGAGGAGAAAGAAAAGAAAAAAAAATATTCTGAACCAATGGACTGCAGACATAGTACAGGAAATGACCAGAGACTGTGGACATGATACAGGAGATGACCAGAGACTGCGGACACAGTACAGGAGATGACCAGAGACAGCAGACACAATACAGGAGATGACCAGAGACTAGGGACATAGTACAGGGAATGACCAGAGACTGCGGACATAGTACAGGAGATGACCAGAGACTACGGACATAGTACAGGAGATGACCATAGACTGCAGACAGTACAGGGGATGACCAGAGACTGCAGACAGTACAGGGGATGACCAGAGACTGCAGACAGTACAGGAGATGACCAGAGACTGCAGACAGTACAGGAGATGACCAGAGACTGCGGACATAGTACAGGAGATGACCAGAGACTGCAGACAGTACAGGAGATGACCAGAGACTGCAGACAGTACAGGGGATGACCAGAGACTGCGGACATAGTATAGGAGATGGCCAGAGACTGCAGACAGTACAGGAGATGACCAGAGACTGCAGACAGTACAGGGGATGACCAGAGACTGCGGACATAGTACAGGAGATGGCCAGAGACTGCAGACAGTACAGGAGATGACCAGAGACTGCAGACAGTACAGGAGATGACCAGAGACTGCAGACAGTACAGGGGATGACCAGAGACTGCAGACAGTACAGGAGATGACCAAAGACTGCAGACAGTACAGGGGATGACCAGAGACTGCAGACAGTACAGGGGATGACCAAGAGACTGCAGACAGTACAGGAGATGACAGGAGACTGCGGACAGTACAGGAGATGACTAGAGACTGCAGACAGTACAGGAGATGACTAGAGACTGTGTACATAGTACAGGAGATGACCAGAGACTGCAGACAGTACAGGAGATGACCAGAGACTGCAGACAGTACAGGGGATGACCAGAGACTGCAGACAGTACAGGAGATGACCAGAGACTGCAGACAGTATAGGGGATGACCAGAGACTGCAGTCAGTACAGGGGATGACCAAGAGACTGCAGACAGTACAGGGGATGCCCAGAGACTGCAGACAGTACAGGGGATGACCAGAGACTGTGGACCTTTACGGAGGGAGGGGGAGCGGGTACCTGAATTTGACAAGTACCCGCTCCCACTTCCGTGGAGTTGTCCTCCCTTTACTGTGGGCACCCGGTGTGAAAGCCGGTTGCCCACTGCGCATGCGCGAGAAGTGCTGCACTTTGTGAATGGCCCAGCATCTTCTGGGACCTGTCATGTGTCCCAGAAGACTCTGGACCATTCACAAAGCGCAGCGCTTCTCGCGCATGTTCAGTGGTCACCCGGCTGTCACAGATGCCAGCGTGGGAAGACTGCACAGCGCTGGACCGAGGAACAGGTTAAGTCCTGCATCAGAGAACAGCTGAGCTGCCGGCCCTGTATTCTGACATGGTGGCGGACCGGCCGCTTTATATTCGCTCCATAAGACGCACTGACATTTTCCCCCCTTTTTTGGGGGGGAAAAAAGTGGGTCTTATGGAGCAAAAAATACGGTAATACCACAATACAATGCTGCAAATTACACATGTGAAATCTCTTTCATTAGCATACGTATCACAACAATGCTTATAAAAATCAGCTTACTGAAAATAAAAATATTAGCTTCAACCAAGGTATGTAACAAATAAATACGTGACCATTCACTCATACTGTCCAAATACGTGAGTAGTCTGTGCTTTTCAAATAAAGCACTGCAAATACAGGTGCAACCATAGAGTAGTTAATATTCATGTAGAATCTGTGATAGTCACCCATCTTATTCCCAAATTAATACCACCAAACCAATAACACGGTGTTCCATCGCTTACAGTGGGGCAAAAAAGTATTTAGTCAGCCACCAATTGTGCAAGTTCTCCCACTTAAAAAAGATGAGAGGACAGAATGAATGGGGCCATGTATCGTGAGATTTTGAGTGCAAACCTCCTTCCATCAGCAAGGGCATTGAAGATGAAACGTGGCTGGGTCTTCCAACATGACAATGATCCAAAACATACCGCCCGGGCAACGAAGGAGTGACTTTGTAAGAAACATTTCAAGGTCCCAGAGTGGCCTAGCCAGTCTCCAGATCTCAACCCCATAGAAAACCTTTGGAGGGAGTTGAAAGTCCGTGTTGCCCAGCGACAGCCCCAAAACATCACTGCTCTAGAGGAGATCTGCATGGAGGAATGGGCCAACATACCAGCAACAGTGTGTGCCAACCTTGTGAAGACTTACAGGAAACGTTTGACCTCTGTCATTGCCAACAAAGGATATATAACAAAGTATTGAGATGAACTTTTGATATTGACCAAATACTTATTTTCCACCATAATTTGCAAATAAATTCTTTCCAAATCAGCCAATGTGATTGTCTGGATTTTTTTTCTCATTTTGTCTCTCATAGTTGAAGGTCTACCTATGATGCCAATTACAGGCCTCTCTCATCTTTTTAAGTGGGAGAACTTGCACAATTGGTGGCTGACTAAATACTTTTTTGCCCCACTGTATGTGCATTGGCTGCTCACCTCAAACTTGGGACCTTTAAATATACAGGTCAAATGCGCTTCATATAAGCCCCTTATTCTGGACAACAGATTCTTCCCCCTTAAGACCTTCACTCACAGTTGGCAACAGTGCTCTTCATAAAGATGTGCTCCAAAGGAAAAGCAACAGAACAAGGGCACCCACAGTGTAGTAATTCAATAAAATTTATTAGTAAAAAAATATTGCACTCACATAAGGCAAGTATAATACACACCAATCTGCATTCCACACGCTACAGCATACTTCCTTCTGATTTCATCCGTTTTAGTTCATATCTCTTTATAGCATGTATTTGACTCTATCCAGAGCATTGAGCGTTATTTTTGTCTGCTGCCTTGATTCTCTGCTATCATGCCTGATAAGTTTTCCTAACACCAAGAGAAAAAAGGCGATGAGGGGGGGGGGGGGGGGGGTGGACCTCCAATAGATTGACAACCTAAGCTATGTTCCTGTATGCTGCTTGAAGGGGGGGTGTCCCTTCCCTCCAATCAGCTCTCAGAACTCCCCTGACTGAACTCTGCAGAATGTAATTTCAGCTCCCTTCCCCTTTTTCTGAAAGCCCAGAAAAGCTTTATAAATTCAGCACTTTGAATGGCTGTACAAAAGAGAAGACCGCAAATAAACAGGTACAACTTATGTAGGGGGATTTGTTTCTCTGTGTATCAAGTGAGGCCAGTCACTTCACTGGGTATACTTTTGACTTTAAAGATTTGTATATCGCTATCATATCCCTCTTAATAAACGTCTCTTCTCCAGGGAGAATTTTTGTAGTCTTTCCTCATAACTGAAGTTCTCCAGATGCCGTATTAGCTTTGTTGCGCTTCTCTAGACTCCAGAACATTCTTCTGAGGACTGGTGACCAGAACTGGACGGCATAGTAAAAATGTGGCCAAACGAGAATTTTGAAAGTGGTAGAATTGCTGTCTTATTTTTTGAGTAAATACCCTTTTTTAATGCATGCTAATGGTCGGCTGGCCTTTGCTGTTTTTGCTGAGTCTGTGATTTACACTTGTGTGTACCCCTTTGTGATTTACACCCTTGTGTGAGCAAGTGGTATAGGATCCACTGGGGCATGGGAGATAAATACCAACCAATTTTCATTAGAGTTCTGATGGCGGAGATGGATTTTGCTTTGTGTTGGTGCCAGGTCATTTCCTTGGGTTCACCCTGCTGAAGGTGCAGAGACAAAGCCACGCAAGAGGGTATAGAATGGGAGCAAGAGTACAGGCAGAGTTTAAATAAGTAGAGAGGATGAGATGATTCAAGGAAACAAGTCAAATGTTGAAAAAATAATCCAAGAGACGAAGCTTGGGTTGGTATACAGAAGATCAACCCAAAGGTACAAGGCGCAGGATGAGGAGTTGCAAGACAGAGCTCAGAGATGAACAGGAATGTTGCTCGGGCACAGGAAGGCCACTCTCAAATAAATGTGATTTCAGCGCTATATAACAGTAATAAAAATGCATCATGGAAACTACAACCCGGTGTCTTTCAAATAAATCATCTACTAAATTTAACTTAAGACATCAAACATAAGAGCGGGGCGGAGCCTAGCCATGGCGGCATAGGAGTGCACGCTTTCTGTGCTCTCCGCCGCTTTCCCATCACCCTGGGGGCCGGTAAAGCCTGAGAAACGAGTGCTGGGGACCTACCTTGGGGCGGGGGGTCTCGGAGAGGAGACAACGACCCAAGGAGCTGAGAGGAGGTGGTGAATCGTGGATCGTGGACACGGCGTCTCCAGGAATTCGTTGGTGGAGAGCCGGTCCGACGCGAGATATGCCAAGGATGTGATTGGTGGTGGGTCACAGGAGGAAGCTGGGAGACGCATGCATGCGGCATGACCATGCAAGGGAATACTGGGTTGGAGAGAAGCCGGCCGGCGCTTAGCTGTTGGAGGAAAATGCCGGCTTCTCTCCCCCCTCTCCCCTCCTCCTCTGCTTGGAAGGATACAGAGAGACGTTGAGTCCCTGAGCTGACAGCTTGTTCCTTAAGGCTGGAGTGGACCTGGAATGCTGATGAGAGGAAGAAAACTGGTGGAATCCCCCAGAAGATTGTGGGTCAATGGAGGTGAGAGCTGTTAAATATAACTGAATGCCTGTGACTTGAAAAATTCAAACGCTTGAGTACATTGGAATAAAGGCTGTCAGTAGTGACTTTATTGAACTGATGATATTATAAGAAGAAGGAAAAGAAGGTTGTTATGTGAAGGGGGGATTCCCTGGAAAGGCTAAAGAGAGGAAGAGAAACTGAGAATCTTGGAAAGTATAAGGCAGAATAATGTGGATGGAAAATCAAATCTAGGTCCCTGGCGCAAGTTTTTTTTTTTTTTTTGGATTTAGTGTGGTTCCTATATTGGAGAAAATAATATGCACAGAAGAGATGAAGAATAAAAATGTTAAAAGTAATGGGCCAAAGGGGTCTCAAACTGGTACAATAAAAAAATACACATTACAAGGTAACGTGACTCCAGAAAGATCCCAGGGGGCTAGTGAAAAAAGTGAATTGGAAGTAAGTGTGGATGGTAGCCCCAGACTATCTCTGGGAGCAAAATGTAGCAATCAACAAATAATAGGAAATGTGGAGATAAGAGAACAACAAAGTGAATTGCAAGTACCAAATAAAAAAGAAATGGCAGATATGTTCAAGAGTTTAGAGGAAACAATAAAACAAGAAATGGCAACTTTGCGGAGTGATCTGGGGCAGATGTTATTTAGAGTGGAGGAAATGGAGGAAAAAGTTAAAAACCAGGCCCAGTATATTGTCGATTTAGATAAAAGGACACTTGCCATAAAGAGGGATCAAAGAGAATTGCTATATAAGCTAGAGATACAAGAAAATAGGGAGAGGAGGTGTAATATAAGGGTAAAAGGTATTCCGGAACTTCAAAGAGGAGGAGAATTACGAGGTCTAATCTGCAAAATTTTAAACTCCATAATGGGTAGACATGAAACTGAATTAGTCAATGTAGGAGAAATATTTAGAATTGGAAGGCCCCAGCAAAGAAGTGGAAAAGAGAAATCAAGGGATGTAATTGTTCAATTTCAGAAATACAGAGATAAGGAAGAAATATGGAGAAAGATCAAGGGAAGATCAAGTATCAAATATGGAGAAATAGATATACAGATTTTTGTGGATATTTCAACAGAGACTCTAAGGAGAAGGAGACTTTTAAAACTCCTGTTAGAGCAGATGAAAAAACAGAATGTGCACTATAGATGGGGTACTCCAGCGTGTTTAATTGGATGGAAGAATGGAGTTACCGTTTATTTGAGATTCCCTGAGGACTTAAAAGACTTCTGTGATAGACTTGAATTGCAATTTACAGAGACTCTTAGATGGGATGGGGAGGGGGGAGATTTGGGAGGTAAAGGAAGAAGAGAGTGGCAGTTGGTTAGAAGGGGGAGATAGGGGAGAGAGAGTGGAGGGGAGATGGGGAATACATTTTTTTTTCCTCTTTCTCTCCCTCTCTCTTACACTTGTATTCTCTTTTCCCTCCTTATCCTTTCTTGAGGTAAACATATGAAGGTTGGATGTTTAGGTTAAGAGGGAGCCATACTGAGTTTGAGAGATAGATGAGAGATGCCTGGGGTGGTGGGGGGGGAGGAGCCGTGCAGGGTTAGAGCTTAACCCCAAGTTTTAAATCTAAGGTGGGTTAGAACCCTCAAATGATTAGAAGGCAATCGATAAGCCAAAATGGGGATGGGAAGTGGGGGGGAGAGGGTGGACTGATGGGGGAGGGGGGGGGGGGGGGGGGGGGTGGGGGGAAGGAAGGAGGGGGTTTTAAGGTTGATATCCTGCGTGAAGAGAAGAATGATAAAGTAGGGAAAAGAAAGGCAGAAAAAAAGGAAAAAAGAAGAGAGTAGAGAG